CACCCCCCCCACCCTCCCCCTACAAACCTCCATCTGCGATAGTGCGTGTCCTACATGATGTGTAGCGCAACTGCCGTGTCTGCACATATCTGCGCCTAACAAATGTGGTACTACGCACGACTGAAATTTTACGTTTATAATCGTAGCAACAGACCTCAGATGAGCCCAGACGCTCTGCGGCTCTTGTTATTACTTATTCTTTGCTAGATCTCGTTGTGTCCAGCCTGTGCGGCACTCACAGCGAGAGGGACGTTATAAGTGTCATGCTGTGTGTGATAACAAATAGAGGAATGAAGGAAATTCTGTACAGCGTTCTAAATCTTTAATATATTCGTAGTGCCTGTTCCTGATAACGTAACCAGTCCATGAGGAATGGCCACTAAGTAAGATTCAGACATTATACGATGCTTGGTGTGGGTGATGGAGAGGCTTCCAGTTTATTTATTTTTTTGCGTGTGTTACTTTCTTGTCATATTTATTTGCATTTGTTTTCTGAAGTCTGAGGACTTGCCGCACATTAGGCACTGCACCATCCGCAAGTGGCCTGACTTTGACGGCTATGGGTTCAACCTGGTCTGCGATGTTGCAAAGGCGGAGGAGTTTATTGGGAATGTTGATAAAGACAGTCCAGCAGAGGCTGGTGGTCTTATGAGAGGTGACCGGGTCATTGAGGTCAATGATGTGGCTGTGGAGGGCAAGACCCATGCTGAGGCTATAGAGCTGGTCAAGCAGAGACCTCTGCAAACTTCCTTCCTCGTTGTTGACCAAGAGGCTGACAAGGTGTTCACTGATAGAGGAATCAAGATTGTCGCAACACTGGAAAATGTTGAGAGACTGGAGACTCCTATTCGGGAAGCTAAAGTGTCTGAAATTTTGGCAGAACCTGAGGTATACCTACAAGTGGAAGAGACATTCTACCATCTCTATGCAAGTCCTATAAATTAACCACTGAGTGGACTGTTAATATATGTCTAGTCATCGTCTTATTCTGTGGGGGGGGGGATCTTACACGTGTTGGGCTTATTTCATCTACAGGTCCTAATTTATTAAGGCCCTCTATTCTTAATAATTAAATATAATAAGGTAAGAAACATGTTCATTTTGCAATGATTTTCATTCATCATGTTTTTATTGCTTAAGTCTGAGGACCTACCTCACATTAGGCACTGCACCATACGCAAGTGGCCGGACTTTGACGGATATGGATTCCACTTAGATCATCATTTGTCCAAAGACGGAGAGTGCATTGGCATTGTTGATGCGGGCAGTCCAGCAGAGGCTGGTGGTCTGAGGGAAGGTGACCGGATCATTGAGGTCAATGATGTGGCTTTGGAGGGCAAGACCCATGCTGAGGCTATAGAGCTGGTCAAACAGAGACCTCTACAAGTTTCCTTTCTCGTTGTTGACCAAGAAGCTGACCAGGTGTTCACCGATAAAGGAATCAAGATTGTGGCCACACTGAAAAATGTTGAGAGGCTGGAAACGCCTGAGCGTCAGGCTACAGTATTCAAGGTCGAGGTATTGTGATGTGTCTCGTGTATAGACAGTCCCAAACACCTGTGAAGAAAGATCGTGTACGTGTCCCTAGATGCTGTAGTCGCGCCCTTGTTGTGTTGCTATTTAATAGGGATTTACATGTAAAAATTCTGCTTTTGTGTTCAATGCTTTGGTGATTGGAAGAAAAATGGAATTATTTCTTGGTAGTATGCGCTAAAAGAAGCTCAATTGTCATGTTGTAGTTTTTAGTAAACTTCACTGTGTATATATGTTAATTAGTTAGTATTGTGCATTATAATTATTATTACTGCATTCTCTGTAGTAATAATATATACGTTTTTAGATTCGAGAGTAGAGAGTAGTAGAGTTTCCTGAAGTATTGATATATGTTTTATGTCGTACTAGTAACTACGTAGTATGTATAGTAGTATGTTTTTGCGTACCATGTTTGCTGCAGAAACGGCGTGCGTTTCTACATACAGGTACAGGTAATTAACGATAGAAGTACTCTGGCAATAGATGCATGTACAACCTGTACAATATATGTATTCTGTACTCAGATTACTCTTTGTTGTAGTTCCCATGCTACTCGTTTTATAATGACAAAGGCTAGTAGCATATCTTATTACAAAGAACAGAGAGCAGATTAAGAAGACTATCGTGTTGCTCAGTATAGAACAGGGACAATTATGAGGAAAGTAATGCGTATAAGTGATCATATGAACACTATACTATTCAATGCTGAAGTAGAGCAAACAACAAACAACTAACTAGCGTGTACGCAACCCTCTCAACATAGCTATCGCCAGGGGTTAATAATGACAAAATTTGTCATTACTAACCCCTGCTATCGCTAAATCCGAAGGGCAGGTTCAAACGTGTCTAGTCTACGGAGTGACCACCATGACTACTTAGGTTTACGTTGGTTTTCGTTGAACCCGCGCAGCAGCAGGAAGCCGAGGCGGAGGATGACCTTCCCCCGGTGCGGCTGTGCACGATCCGCAAGTGGAGCGACTACGACGGCTACGGCTTCAACCTGCAGTACGACAAGGGGACGAGGCAGGAGTTCATCGGCAGCGTCGAGGACGGCGGCCCCGCCGAGACGGGCGGCCTGCGCGGCGGCGACCGCGTCGTCGAGGTCAACGGCGAGAACGTCGAGGGCAAAGGTCACGCCGATGTCGTCGCGCTCGTCAAGCAGCATGCGACGCACGCGGCGTTCCTCGTCGTCGACGTCGAAGCCGACCGGCTGTTTGGTGCGCGCGGCATGAGGGTGCTCGCGACGCTAGGCAGTGTGACGAAGATGGAGACGCCCCTACCACGGCCCGGCAACGTCATACTACCGAGGAACGAGGTAGGCTCGCGTCAAGACTCCTGTGCGTGTGGGCGTGCTTGCGCGCGTGCGTGCGTGTGCGTGCGTGTGGTGTGGTGTGGTGTGCGTGCGTGCGTGTGTCTGTGTGTGTGTGTCTCTCTCTTTCTGTGTGTGTGTGTGTGTGTGTGTGTGTGTGTGTGTGTGCGTGCGCGCGTGTGCGTGTGCGTGTGCGTGTTCGCGTGTGCGTGCGTGTGCATGTGTGTCTAGTCTGATAAAATGTGGAAGACGAGCCCGATCTGCTGCCAGGCGGACGTCAGTACACATGGCCGTTTGATGTATGACTGTTTCTTATAGCTAGAGGAAGGTTAGCACTAGGAAGCTAGAAATGTGTGTAATCTGACGCTGTTCTAGAGTCCAATGGCCTTCCATGGCCAATTGAGGCGAATTTTTGTACGCCCGCAATTGCTAGCCTATGCTGAGTTATGTCCTTCAGTGTGAAATCGCGTGATGTTAATTGGGCACAACACACCATTGTAATCCACCGTCAATTTGAAAAAGTACAATGCTATTTGGCTGTGTGTAACTGGAAATAAGGTTATACCATCTTTCTTCGTTCTATCCGTGTTTTGCTATTGCGTGCGTGCTTTCAGCTCATGTGTGTGCTGCCTTGCTGCTCTTGGAATACAGGTGCATATACAATGTGTCGGTGACGTCACCCAAGAATAATATACAAGACAAATTACTAGCTCGTAGATTGTCAAAGTAGTAGATAGGCAGTACAGGTGCCATGAATCGGGGTATATGCAAGTTTTTAGTCCGTTTTGACAAATAATGTGTGAGGCTTTCGTGGTAGTCCTACTTGTCTCTCGGCTCCTTCGTTGAATATAATTCTGTGACCACTATCTGCAGACTGTAGGTGTTCAATGTCTGGTATCAGTCCACTGCTCATATAACCATGCTCGCTCGCATTGGTTGGGGTTCTATAGGTTTCACGGTCGGCTACTTCTGCTGAATGACATTGCTGTTCAGTTATGGTAGGAATGCACGTACGTTAGTGTTAATTGGAAAGCGTTAGTAAGAAAGGGAAATTAACCTACTTTTTACCAGCGATTAATTATCCGATTTAGTGGATAGTAACAACGCGTATGTCTGAGTTTGTTCCTGGTATGGGGGTTGTCTGATGGAAATTGGCCAAGTAGGAAAGCCATTGTATTCTATGGTACACACAAAGAGCAACAAATACCCACGCATTGTTTCTCATTTTCCCCCGGGATCACTGACATGGAACATCAGCATTAGCTTACAATGGCTGTTGATGGTTACCTTATTATGCTGTTAAATTCACAGGTTTTTACGTGCTGCTGTTTTGGCTTTGTGTGGCTATTGTGTCTGTACTCCGTGTTGTATTATACGTCTGCCTATGTTTAATTAATAACCCCTTCCGCTCTGAATTCGCGCACGCACACCATTACTCCAATTCATATGATATCATCAGGAGTGAATAATAGAGTGAATAATAATCTTTATTATTCACTCCTGATATCATATTTTTGCTTAGCAACGTTATTTAATGGGTGGTATAGTGCTCATGTCTCTTGCAGTATTACCATGACCCGCTATTGTCCTTCTACTGTGTCAGAAATATTTTACTTCAGTGTCTGTGTTAGAGCCTCATGTTCCTAAATAGTTAGCACGAATTAGTGCGTACAGGCTTTGTTGACTGACGTATGTACACGGGCTTATTTTGTTATTGTAATCACAGGACAATGGCATCCCAGACAGTGTGCCCCGCCCACGACTGGCCCATGTCTGCAAGTGGCCGGACTTCCAGGGTTATGGCTTCAACTTGCTGGCTGGTGGGTTTCATACCACATGCAAGAGTCGCGTGCGCTGATTAGAAAAAAAATTATTGAAACAAATATATATTAAAAAATAAAAATATAATATAATTAAATAAATGTGAAAAATATATAAAACATAAAATATATTAAATGTATATCGAGAATATTGAATGTTAGCGGCCACAGGTTTCGCACTGACCGTCGATGTTTGCTGTCCTCTAGTGGAACGTATGTTGTATTGTTGTAGTACATTCGTAAGCAGAAGCTTAGTAGTCCTGTTGGTTAACCTTGAAAACGATACTGTGTGCTCATATTTCTAATCCGATATTGACATTGTCGCTAATAATAACTCATCGTATGAATGAAAACATGTAATCTCTTTTCAACTGTTTATCTGAGAATGAACTTATCCATATTGCATCTATGGTTCAGGATTATAGTTTATGCTCCTCAAATTAACAGTTCCCTACCTAAAACTGCGATGCTAGGGAGTGTGACGAACGTGCGGTCTTTGCCGTTTTGCAGACAAGAATGGACTTGGAGAGTTTTTGGGCGATATCGACAAAGACGGACCAGCGGACCTGGCCGGACTTAGGAAGGGAGACAGGATCGTTGAGGTCAATGGCAGCAATATTGAGAACGACAGCCATCCGCAGGTAAACATTATGCTAGAAGCTTAGACTGGCGCTGAGAGCTGGCATTGTATGTCTGGCTGATCCGGCCAGAGGAAAGTAGTTGATGTGGAAGGTAGTCTGATTTTCAATATTCCTGTTGACTGTCTCTGAAGCGGTCGATTCTAAATGACTTGGCAAGATCAGTGTAGATCGGGGGCAGATATAGTTTTTGATGTAAAATTTCGTTTTATGCACGTGCAACAAGGTACGACATGGCATTAAAATAAATGCGAACATTTCCTCAAGTCGTCTTCTGACTGTCGAAACAGGTCGTCAACAAGATAAAGGCCATGCCGGACAACACAAAGATGTTGGTGGTCGACAGCGAAACTGACGAGTACTACAAGTCGCGAAACATAGCGGTCAGCGGTAGCATGGACAACATTGACTATAAGAAGACCCCGGCTAGCCGACCGGCCTCTAGCATGAGGATTAATGGAGATTCAGAGGTAAGCCATGCTTTGTGTTCGACTCCATTCACCAAAGCTAGGCCATCGACGCAGGTGCCATTTGTAATGCACTGACGTCATGTCGTGTTTGCTTTAATTATTCACAGCTCCCTCGAAATCGTAACAATGAAAAAGGAATACGTTATTAGGAGCTCTTTTGGAAAGAGCTCGCAGAATGACAATAAGATTCGTGTGTAGATCACTCTGTTTGTTCATTCGTCTGTGAAAAATGCTGGATAAATCTAAACAGCTTCACCTATAGTGTTCTTATCATGAGAATCTGAAGCTATCTGTGAGAAGCTAATCTGAAAAGATGTCAGTAGAGAGGAAAAGTACTAAGTAAAGGTAGATCGGTCAGGGCATCAATGAACATTTATCCCACCCTCTTCCCCAATAAGCATATATAAGATGCATTTCCCTACAAAGTAGATGTCACAGGTTCGGGTATTGGGGGGGGGGGCTGATGTGAAAGGTGTCTTCATCACGATAATTCACACATGCCAAGTGCAGACAGTTACGTTTAGCTTAGCCGGCAGTATCGGGGTCACATCGAGACTGGTTCACCCGCATTGTCGTGAAAACACACACGGACTCGTTTAGCTGTGGAATACCATTAGGACACCGAGGGAGTGTTTTTCCACACACGACCCATTCAGCCGTGGCATGGTATTAGGACCTTGCGCGCGAATTGACTCACCCGGACACGTTCATTGACCAGTGACAACATTGCCAGTCTGGAGTAGAAAAGCTCATCATTATTGGTCCTTAATCTGTTGCCAGGCAAGTCCTAATTCAGAATGCGTGTGTGTGCGTGTGTTGTAGTGGACAAACTGACGTGAATGCTTGTATATGTTGCTGTGCGGTACACGGACGTTTTACATGCTACATACAGTACACGTGTGTCGGGCTACGTTGATATAACAGAATCAACTAAAAACTCGAGTTATGAAAACTTTAAAAGTCGCAACCTATATTGTTCTGTGTGTGAGGCTATTGCGTGGCCACTGGCCATTCACTAGCAAAAACTTTGATGAACTTCATTTGCACTCTAGATACGGTGATATGTTCAGAGTGTAGTCATTGCCCACGGGCATTATTCGAAGTTATAGCCCGCAGTATATATCTAGTTTTATTGATATTACTTCGTTAATGATTGAAAAGTTGCCTGCACACTCAAAGTAACGTGGTTGTTTGAATAGCATTCCACGCCAACTTAACTTGCTGCAGAGGTTGCTCACAAGGTGTTGGTTCAACTTGGTTCACCATAGTGTGTCGTCTAAATTGTTTGATTAGTTGGAGTCACAAGCGATGCTAGCCCTGTTTGGGTGCGTCTGTGTGTGAGTCACTATGCTCAGCTATCACATATATGTGTTCAGTGGTTCATGAGAGCCTATCCATGTTCTACAGTGCAAACATTTGCACCTGACCCTAAATTGATGCCCTTGTAGTGCGTTACCTCTGTCAGGAGTGTATAATGTATATATATATTATACATAATATATATTAATATATAATCCATATATATATATAATACATAAATTATATAATACTAGAGCACTCGGAGAGCGCAGACCTCCGCCCAGGCAGCTCAATTGTCTCACTGAAAAATTTTATTAATTAATTGGATCCGGATCACCACCAAAATGTAATCAATTCTAAGTTAATCCATTTCTGACCTATCCTGAAATTTTTTTTAATTAATTGGATCCGGATCACCACCGAAATGTAATCAATTCTAAGTTACCCCATTTCTGACCTATCCTGAATTTTTTTTTTAATAATTGGATCCGGATCACCACCAAAATGTAAATGAATTCTAAGTTACTCCATTTCTGACCTATCCTGAATTTTTTTTTTAATAATTGGATCCGGATCACCACCAAAATCTCATCAATTCTAAGTTAGCCCATTTCTGACCTATTCTGAAAATTTTATGACAATCCGTCCATAACTTTTTTAGTTAGGCTGTACACAAACAAACAAACGCACAAACCCACAAACCAACAAACACACGCCGGTGAAAACATAACCTCCTGCTAACCCCTTGGCGGAGGTATTTATCTATATTATCCACTCCTGCCTCTGTCCATCTACATCGAGTGTTAGGTAGAAACATATTTGAAGCCTTTTTGTTATGAGTATGTCTGCTATGAGACGAAGCTGGTAACGCTGATAAGACCCGAGCATCTATGTTTAAAAGTCCATAATTAAGCTTAAAAAAGCTGTTAGTAAAATCTTAATTCAATTTAAGGAAATTAACACTGTTAAACTTATCGCAGATTTATAAGGAAAACGGACACGATGAACTCAGCCGCTCACCTATTAAATTAATTCTTATAAATGAATCACGCCCTTGTAGGCTCAAATTTCAGTTTCAAGTTTCAAGTTTCACTCTTTTACTCTTCTTGAAACTTGAAACTCGAAATTTGAGCCTCCAAGTGCCTGTGGTTATACCTAGCTCCGAGAAAAGGTCATACACTGAAAGACCATATGTGTTTATGTTCACACATTAGTCTAACAGCCTGCTCGCGCTACGTCATATCACGAGTGAATGAAAACTCCTAGGTGCAGCAGGGGTTAGCAGACATTCAATCGTCGACTACAGCGTGTAGTCGTACGTACTACTATACTAGTCTGTTATTTCCTGGATAGCGGTAGGATACAGTGCTCACTGCTTTATCGTGACAGGTCGGTAACCGTGAAAATATCCTGAACACACTGTCGTCGGTGAACACACTAACAACGTGCGTAAGGATTGTTTTTGAAAGACATGTCGTATATACGATGTGCCCGTTTATCCGAGGCCCGAGAAAGCGGAGAGCACGGAATTACCGTCAAATCTAGCGGTTGATTTTTCATCGTCAGTTATTTTAATGAAGCAACGTAGCGGTTAGTAGAAACAGGGGGGCGGCGATTGTATTGTGCTGACCGAGAATCAGATACATTGCACACGCCCTGTGTATTACGTGCACTTCTCTAGAAGTCGTATCAAGTCTGAGTTGTTTGCTTCGCCCACAACCAGTTACAGTCTCCGTTTGTCCAGTTTTCTGCGGGCAATACGGCAGCGTGATCGCGATGGTCTGGCATGAATGGCCTGCTGTGTACTGTGACTGTTATTATATATATGATGGCTGCCGGGTGTACGTTCAGGAAACGTCTTGCCTGGCTCGTAGGTGTACCAGGCACAAAGCCTACTATACCTGGCGTGCCGTGTTTGCCCATACAGCGTAGCACGACGTAGCAGGGTAGGCGCGAACTGTCTTCCTGCGTGCCGTGTTTACTTTCGTCTGTGAGTGTTTGAATCGCGTGCTAACGCGCATGTATATAGCCATGCGCTTCAGAATTAGATGCAACCAGGTGCCAGCTTAGATTGCTAAATCCCTCTTCTATCACAATCCCAAGGTGAGCTATGGTGTTATTGACACTTTCATTCGTAAAACTGAACAACTTGCAAAGATAAAGTATATTCCGGTACTTTACTCGCAAAAATGTCATGTGGTTAAAAATGGTAACGATCGGGTCCTGATGACGGCAACAAACAGCAGACTTCTAAGACGGGCGGTAGGATACGATTACAAAACCATGCAGCTTGAGTCATTTCACTTTTGCCTCATTACTTGTCGGTTGTTAGTAAACGCTGATGATTGACAACGCCGTCGCTTGGCAGTGACAGTTGACACCTGACGAGACGGTGAGGTCATTACGCCACTTTAACAGATTTTTTACGCGTTTCTTATTAAAAACCAATCTCAGAACATTCGCGTGTCATCGTGAGTAGTAGCAGCTGCCGTGACGCCGGCGTAACTGATCTAGTGTGAGACCGGGTTTTGCCTTTCAATGGGGTGTTATAATATGGCGCAAAACTGCACAAGAGCGGGAATGTCGCTGCCGGCATCGGTAGGAATTTTTATAGCAGAGTGTCGTCGTCGTCGTCTTTACGCTGGCTTCGTTTATGTTCACACCACCACTACCGTCACACTAACCAGATGGGCCGGCCAAAGCCAGTGAAGCGAGTCCGTGTGGGCTCATGCTTTCCCACCGGAAAAATAGTCTGCGATCATTATTCAGTTAATTCTAGGCACCAGAGAGTGATAAAAATGGAAAACCGAATAGCCCTTATCTACAGCCATTCTTCCCTAACCCAATAACCCACCACCCCATGAGTCCCCCCAACCCCGCCCCACCAAATATGTGCATTATCTGTGTCGAATATGCAGGCTTCCGTATAGATTCACTCCATTCTTCACTATAACTGGACCATTACTAATCTTTGGACACTATAAATGAGTGGACTGAAACTAGCTTGCATTGTGTTATTCGCCCTATCTTTCCAACGCAGTCTGATAAGTACATTAGAGATTACATCGGCGCATACTAGGCGACGCACGAGATTTCTCACCGAATTTTTCACTGGCGGGAAACAGCGTTAAATAATACCGAGTAGCTTCCACTTGGTTGGATTTATCTATTACATGGTTAGAGAATATGTTGTGCAACGGCACATCGGTAAGTCTCATAGTACACTTAAACCACCCTTGATTCAGCTCGTGTGAATACCTGCCAATACCTGAGTGCCCCCCCCATACACACCTAGGCCAGAACCTAATCAAATTTCCAGACCCAAATCCTAGGGCGTAAATTCGTCCGTCATCCGACTAGTATTTTTAGTAGTATCGTTTTATTCGGATTATATTGCATATTACCAGATGCTACTTGGCTAATGCTGACTCTCAAAAGCCCAGAATAAGTGGCAGGTATCTTAGCTGGGGGTTTATGAACCTGATAGATGTAGGATACCAGAGGCATCTGGCGCTCTGCACAAGCTTATATTATATGAAGGGATTCCAATATCTTGTCTCTTGTGTATGTATAATATTATGTGTTAAACGTGTGCGTCTTACTCGGTGAATGTATATAGCAGAATACGGGCCATTTGCCTGATTATGCTATAGGGGAGCGCGTGGGTGAGCGCGGCCAGTTCTTTCGTAATTCGTTCGTAA